AGATTCATGTTTATTCTCCCACTAAAATATCTTGTAGGTTTTTTTTTATTAAATCTATTGACCTAAACTCTTTTGGTCCAATTAATTACTAATTAATTTGGACTATCCAAATAAATTAGTTTAGATATTTTAGATGGCCCGGATTAGGAAGTAATTTCTCAAATTATCCTTAAATCTAAATTAAGAAACTAATTTTCCTTTTAGGTAACTTACTTTCAAATTTGGAACCGACTTCCAAATTAGAAAACTGATTTCTAAAATAGAAAACTTTCCATTTTAGGAAACTTTTCATTTTCGAAACCTTTTTTCAAAATCTTTGCTTCTCTTTTATTATGTGAATGCTTAAACTTATGTGTGCGACTCGGTAGGCTCCTAGATATATTAGCAATGCATCAAGAATAAAAGACACCTCTTTTATCTCTTGATACATAAATCTAGATTGCCCTTTAACAAGGCATTATGACTACCCAATTCTTTAGAAGGATTAAATTACCTTTCACGAGTATAGTTACCATAAAATTTAGTCCTTATATTAATTTATCATAGAGTGATCTCGAACTTGGTTAATTTTTTTGTTCAATTATGATCGGACAAGTTTTCTTTGATTTACAAATGTCTTAGCTCTTAGAGTAAACCAACTATGCTTTATTGGTGTACTCCTACTACACGATTTCTTGAGCAAACATTTATCAAAGTGCAATATGATAACTCTTTTAGCATACAAGAAACAACATGTCCTATCTTAGTCATCAACATATCTCCATTAAATTCCTAGTTCACCCAATGAGTCATCCACGTGCAACCATATACTAGGTCCATCGAATCAAGTATGAAAGTACATAAATCCTCTAATAAGATAATCATGATGACATCATGTCAAAGGACCAGATTGTACCCATTTTGTATGAGATTTTCATAAACTAAACCAAATGGGTTCTCATGGTGAGTCAAGTCCAGGTGATGTGTTCTATAACATTTATTACCTAATTGCTCGTTTTGGCATCACCATGTAAATAGGTGTGAGATCTCACACCACTATCTTATAGCATGATCATAGCACTCACAAGTCTAACTCGTAGATAATCAATATCCATTCTTGACAATGCTATGATTGAAATATTTAATGATATTATTTAAGTGCATTAATGTTTATCTCACGTCTTTCGATCAATCATTAATGCAATGCATATCATATGGATTTCTATCTAATTCGATAAATAAACATAAACAATAAGAGTTAATGGAAAGACTTCTTTTATTGATAAAATAAACAATGTAATATTATTATAAGTCAAATTTATCCAAATATAGTTGGATCTTAGAGACCTACACTAATAGGCTATATTTTTCGAAGCTTGTTTCGAGGGCACTCTCCCATCCATCCACTTAGGTGTACCTTACGTGCGGCTACAAGTCGAACCTACTTCAAGAAGGAGTGCTTTTGACTCTCGATATTCTAGTTTATGTCTTGGGTATGACTACTTTATTTTACATGATGTTAAAAGTAATGAATGGGTAGAAGACTAGTTAGAAAAAGAAAAACAAACTTGTAAATAAATAAACCACTTTTGATAGTATTGTGGTACCAAACCGGGTGCCATATAAAAGATAAATAGGTTATAGGTCAATCAATTTTGGACATATTAAAGATGTAATAATATAGTAGTGTGTAATTATAGTTCATGTACTTGAATACCTTTATACTATTGTTCGATAATAGTGATATGGATAGTCTAGTTATATAATTAAAAGATGATAAGTCATAAAGGAAAAAAAGTAGACTACGGAATAATAAGTATCAACTAGATGAATTTATTCCGCTCATAGAAAAAGGATTTGATAAAATCGAGAGAAATGGATCCAATTATTTCAATCCAAACTATGAAAATAAAATGTTAAAATGGAAAATTTAATAGTGCATTTTAGATTGAAATTTGTGAGCTTAGTAGGATATTAATCATCTAATGAGCTTACGTAGTAAAAACCATACCTAATAACATCATAAGGAGGACACGAGTGTCTTATGTCTCACATTCACCGTGAGGCACTATGGTAATATCCTCAACCTATTTAGGTCGTAGGGCGGGGTGTTAAAATTCATTATTCTCAAAATATTAAATTATAATTTTGCTATTTTTTTCTTAGTAGATTACATGATCTTTAATTTTTTAAGATTGAGTATACTAATTTTTTCAAAACTTTCAATCAAGTACTTTTATTAATTTCTTCATTAATTGTTGACGTGTCCGAATATCAAATTATGTTTTCTTTTCTCTTTTATTGTAAAAAATTTTCTCCTTAAATTATTTTCTCCTTTTAAATTTTGATAAAAATATATATAAAAAAGTAATTTTTAGTTATAAAATCTAGAACTAAATTTAGTTAGGCTTACTCGTTAAAAAAAATAAAAATCAATTATGTTTTGGGCATGAAAGTTGAAGGAAACGCAAACATGAAATTTTTCATCAAGAAGATTCATTTGTGTGTGTGTGTGTGTGTGTGTGTGTGTGTGTTTTTTTTTTTTTTTAAGTTTCACTTTTAAACCTAGTTGAGTTTTTTTTTTTTTCCTTAAAGAAAACAACAACCTAACTCGAGTTTAGTTTAGAATTTATAGATAAAAAAATAATATATTTTTTTAATAATTTGTCAAATTTTAAAATGATAAAATAATTTGGAGAGAAAATATCTTTCAACAAAAAGAGAGTAAAATTATAATTTTGTATTCAAATACTTCATCAATTAATGAAAAAAGTAATGAAAACAACCACCTAATTGAGTTTCATTTGTGTTTCTTATTTTCAAGTTTCACTTTTAAACCTAATTGAGTGGTTTTTTTTTTTTTTTTTTTTTTTTTTTTTTTTTTTAAGACGGGAACCTAATTGAGTTTAGTTTAGAATTTATAGATAAAAAAAAATAATATTTTATTAATAATTTTTTAAATTTTAAAATGATAAAATAATTTAGATAGAAAATTTCTTTCAACAAAAAAGAAAGTAAAATTATAATTTTGTGTTCGAAAACTTCATCAATTAATGAAAAAAGTAATAAAAACAATAACGTAACTAAGTTTCATTTGTGTTTTTTTTTTTTCATGTTTCACTTTTAAGCCTAATTGAGTTTTTTATTTTTTTAGCGAGCAACCTAATTGAGTTTAGTTTATAATTTATAGGTAAAAAATAATATTTTTTAATAATTTGTCAAACTTTAAAATGGTAAAATAATTTGGAGAGAATTTCTTTCAACAAAAAGAAAGTAAAATTATAATTTCATATTCAAACATTCATTAATTAATAAAAAAAATTAATGAAAGTACTTGATTGATAGTTTTGATAAAATTAATATACTAAAAAAATTAAATTCACATACTCGATTGACTAAAATGATAAATTTATAATTTGATTTTTTTTTAGAATAACAAACATATCATCAGTTAATAAAAAAATTAATAAAAAAATTTAGTTGATAATTTTGAATATATATATATATACACACACTCAAATGAAATGAAAAAAAAAAAAAACATATATTCCATTGAAAAAGAATTAAACGGTGATCTACTCCTTTGCCCGCAAACGTATGCCTGAAAAATGGAGTACAAAGTGTGAAGACGGCTATCGATTTTTCAACGGATATCAAGCCTGAAGCATCTTATGAGACAAACGATAATGGTGATGTAGAAATCTCCTTTTCAGCTAGCACATCTATTAATGCAAAAGTCTCGAGTGCTTTTTCCTTTGGCTTTGCTAACAAAGCTTCAATTACCAGCAACCTGCCAGTTCTTATTCACTTTTCCAGATATATAGTATTTATGTCGGGGGTTATTGTGTGATCAATTAAATCCCAAACAAGCTTACAACTTTTTGGTTGGTGGAAAACAACTCATTTGATGTTATTATAAGAAGCATAAAACTACTTTTCAGATCCAATGCAACCATTTCAGCTTTTGAATTAAGTTCATTTAAATTTATTATATAATTAATAGAAAATCATTTCCATGTTCTAACCTAACATAGTTTTTACTATTTGGTTGAATAGTTGTTTAACAAGACTGCATGAAATGGGTTCCAATACAAGTTTTGGATAGCAAACTCTTTCTGCTAAGCTTTTGGTAAACTCCGAAGTGTACCATGAATGATAAAACCGACGGCAAACATGGGGATTTAGTCACAATTAGGGATGGCGATGGGGCGGGGGCAGGGATCATCATCCCTAACCCCATCCCCGCCTTGCCCCGCCCTGTCCAAAAAAAAAAAAAAAGAAAAAAACATCCCCGCCTCATGCCCTATTCAAGACGTAATTTCGCTCTTAATCTCCACCCCAAATAGAATGGGTTGAGGCTCTGCTAGATTACCTTTTTTAAAGACAAAAGGACGAGACGAAAATAGCTATCCCTATTCCTACTCTACCTTGTCAAATTACCTTTTTCAAAGAGAAAAGAGTGAGCCAGGATGGGAATGATCATCTCCATCCTCGTCCCGTGCCCTAAACAAGGACGAAACAACATTGAAGTGGATTGGATTGTCATCCTTAGTCACAATATGTGCAAGTGTGTTGATATTTTACATGGCTATGAACCTTTAATGTAGTTCTAAAATAATTAATGTTGACACAAAACAATCTAACATAACCTAAGACAGAGGAGAGATTTGCTATTTTCAACTAAACTTTTCTTTTTGGAACAAATTTTTTTTTAGCCAATTCAAGTCAAGTGTTAGAAAGACAAAAGAACAAAAAAAAACCTTATCAAGGCCATTCATCTGACGACGTTTACTTGCAGAATGGATGTCACTACTTACACTTTCGTCTCTTGTGACTTATTATTGATGAAAAAAACGATCAAAAACTTTACGAGCCAAACAAAGCCTCCACCAATCGATAATTACATCCCAAGACCCAAAAGGAACTGAAGGATCAACAATTCTATAATAAAGTTAAAAAGATGAGTCAAAACTCAAAACTTAGATGCGTTTGCGTTAGGTACATTCTTTTCACCACTGAATCTACACTGAGTCGGAGTCCTCGAGCAAGTCCTCCCAAAGCACTTCCTCTTCCTCCGTTCTCGTCTCCATCATCTCGAATATCCTCCTTATCTTCTCCTTAGTCCGCTCGATTCCTGTCTTCTCCACTTGCACCAGCACCTCCATGGCACCTGCTGCCTTTGCCAACCCTTTAAACCTCAGACCCCCGTGACTCAGTCCATACAAAACAGACACACAAGCATCCTGAGTTGACTCGGATTTCAACTCACTTCCCCTCAATAAATCCACCAAAGCGTTCACCCCGCCCGAATCAAACATTGCAGCCCGGCCATCCGGAGTCAAAGCCAAGTTACGCAATATTAACAGAACCCGACTCTCCATATCACCTGATTTGACCATCCCCAAGAGAATTGGCACCGACCCAAGTTTAACTAACTTAGCTATATTGCTTTGGACGAGTGAGAGATGATATAAAGCTAAGGCCGAGTCATGCCGTGTCCGGTCACTATCTCCGGATCGGAGCAAATGCAAAAGTGGAGGCAAAGCGCCCAAAACACCAATTGCGGTCTTGTTACAGTCATCAAGTGACAAACTAAATAATGCACCACAAGCATGCTCTTTTGCCTCAGGGAAACCTCCTTTTAACACATCAATCAATAAGGGAAGAATCCCTGACCGAACTATCTTTACTTTGTTCATTTTCTCTAAAGACAAATTAACTAAACAAGCAATTGAGTTGACTTGAATGTTAGTGTACCTTGAATTGATCAAAGGCTGCAGTGCTGAAAGTAGCCGAGAGGTACAAAGCTGCAGTCTAGTATCATCCTCTTTAGCTCTTGTGGTCTTTCTTAATGAAATGAGACCTTCTTCGATCTCAAACACTAGTGGGCTTTTGAGTTTTCTCACAAACTCTTCTTCTTCGGGGTTAGGATTAAGGATCTCTATGTCGGTCGAGGAGGAAGAAGGAGAAGAGTAGCAACTTGGTTGGGCCTTGAGTTGGAGGGGAGAGGTTGAAAGTGGAGAATCGTATGAGCTCCTAGAGTCATGAGTACCTGAGGTCTGAGTTATCAAATCAGTAACCGCGTGAATCCCAGTACCAATGTCTTGATCTTCGTTTCTCTTTGGAGGGTTCGATTTTTGCTGTTGGGTTTCCAATATTTTTGCGCGGACGAGCTTTTCTGCAGAGAAGAAATCGAGGGTGGCTTTATTATGAGGGTGGCCTATAGGGTAGTTTTTGCACCATTTGAGAATGGTAGATTTGAGAGCTAGATTTGGAATCACAGTGGAGAAATCAGGAGTGGTGCCATCTATTAGAGTGGGAGTGAAACCAAGAGTATTGCAGGCTTGAACACAAGCACGCTCAAATGTATGCCCAGAGGAGACAATAACCGGGTCGTTCATGAGAGTCCCGGAAATTGGACATAAAAACTCTATCGGAGTTTCTGATTGCTTTATCTTTTGCTTTGATGATGATGATGATCTGTGAAAGGAGATTTTCCATTTCTGCTTTTCTGCTTGTGTATGATGTCTCTCAATAACCCCTTTTTCTATTGTCTTTTGGATCATCAACCTCGTCACAGCTTCTTGAAACTCCATGTCTCTGTTTCCCTCTGCTTCTCAATCTCAATTTTCACAGCTGGAAAGTTCAATTGTTTTTGTGTACGTTGATACTAATCCATGGTTTAAGAAATATCGGATGCTTGGTCAGCCAAAAGCGGGATGTTTTGGTGAACACAGATTTTTGTACTTTACCATGACGTTGTTGACAGATAGATTAAGTCTGAACGGAACGAATATCTCCTCAGTTTTAAGTAATTTACCGATCGGTTTTTTAATTTTTAATTTTATACTGAATCTTTCTAATTAATTTTAACGCTAAAGGTATAAATAACTTACGCTTAGTTGATTTTTTAATTTCTTCAATAATTAAAGATATAACAAAATTTATGGATGTTTTACTTTGCTTTTCAAATTTTGTTTTTTTTTTTTTTCATTCGAAAATGCTCTTTAATTATTTATTTTTTAGTATTTATGAGGAACAAACAAATTTTGAAAAAAAATAAAATTTATACATGTTATTTTAAGTGCATTAAAATTGATAAAAATATAATAGAATGATATAATTTTAAATTAAAAATAAATTTAAAAAATAAAAATTAAAGGACAGATTGTTAAATATTTAAAATTTAAGAAAAGTTTGGACGTTTTGACAATATATTAATGAACAAGTTGGGAAGTGGCTTGTTTGTGACAAAACGAAGACCGGATCTGTTGGGGTTTGGACGATGAAATGGTGATCTTGTGAGTTGCCTGTGCAGATATGATTCCTTTGCTTTCGGAGACTAAGCCCAGTATAAAAAGAAAGAGATGATGCTCCGCGGAATTTTCCCAAAAGCTCTATTATTTCTCCCACTCGATCACTCAATAATAACTACTACTTTCGTTTTTTTTTCTTTTTCTTTTTCTTTTTTTCCCTTCTAAATATAACGTAACATAATTGTATATTCTTCTGAGTAAATTATAAACTGGTTTCCTTAGTTTTAAAAAACAAATTAATTAGTCTTTTTTGTTTTAAAAACTAATTATTTTTGTTTATTTATGTTTTTTAATTTGTTTTTTTTAATAGAAAGATTGATAAGAAAATAAGATATTTTTTAAAAATAAAATAATATGAAATTAAATATGATTAACACTAGTCAATAAATTAAATTATTAATTTTAAAAATAAAAAATTAATTAATTTGTTTTTCGAACTAGAGGTATTAATTTATAATTCACTCATAATGTTTGTAATGTCTTATTTTCAATTTGAATAAATAATAATGTAGTTATACATTTTTTGAATTAGAAGATTAATTATATATGTAATTCTTTGAATGTTGTAAAGGTAAATATAATAAGAAGATAATAAAATTTATGCAGTCCCATTGTGAAGCAACAGCACTGTAGAATTTGCTATAACAAGATTCTATATAAAGAAATAAAAATCTAAACGAGGAAATAATTTACTTTATTATGTTTAAGAAAATAAAAAGAAAAACTAGTTTGGAAAATGTCACACTAACGTAAAAATACATTTTGATTTTGGTCTTAAATATATAAAATTATTCAAACTAATCATTAAGTGGACAAGAAATTTATTATGTTCTTATTATGTTTACCTTTACAACATTCAACGAATTACAATTTAATCTCACTAGTAGCCATCACAAAATGTTAGCTATAGTTGGGTTTGGAATGGAACGGAGGAAGAGGAAGCGAGTAGGGGTGAGCAAATGGTTTGGTTAACCGAAAATCGAATCAAACCGAACCGAATTATGTATTTTGGTTCGATTTTAAACTTAAATTTACAAAATTAAAAACCGAACCGAAAAACCGAAATTATTTCGGTTCGGTTCGGTTTTTGAAAAAAATTCGGTTTTCACCGAAAACCGAAAAAATTAAAAGCAAAAAAAAAAAAAAAAAAAATTTTTTTTTTTTTTAACCCTAATTGGCTAACTTCACTAAATCAAAATCAATTTTTAGCGATGCCTCCCTAGCTCCCTATCCTTCGCTCCATCTTCTCCGATTCTCCTTCATCATCACTTCATCGAGTCTGGAGGAGGCATTCATGAATTCTAAGATTCTTAATTTGGTCAACTATCAATTGAAAAAATTAAATAAAATTGATGACTAACTGCAATCAATTGTCTTTTACAAGTTTAGTTGTTTCTTTGCAAGACAATCAAATGAAATTAACTTACTATTACAAGATGGTTTTAGGTCTCTATGAGCTTGAATTTTACAAACCGAAAGAAAGTCGTTTTAATTTTTTTCTACCGCACAAAATTGCTAATGAAAATCTTTTAGACTACATTTTTTAGTGGGAATGATGATTGTAAAATTATTAGGGATGTTATACATATTGGTAACCTTTACCTTGCTTTATATATCTTGTTATGATAGTGATTGATGTTGGAAAATTATAATCTTCAACGGTGACTAATTCGGTCTAAAATTTTGTTCCCTGCGGTTCATTCCCAATGGCTTTTTAGCAAGATAAGCAAGGAGATCATAGAGGTCAAATTAAGAATTAGGATGTTGTCGGTGCTTGATGAGTTCGGAATAAGCAAAAGAAGGAAGACAACTACATTTTTTTTCTTCTCTCATTTAGGACATTCGAGTGTGTCAACCGTGATTAGGTAGCTGCAAAAGATATTTCCTATGTAAGAGCTTTGTTTTCTTATTGTGATTAGGTAGCTTCAAAAGATATTTCCTATGTAAAGGCTTTGTTTTCTTATTGTCTTTTTTTTTTTTTTTTAATAATAAATGGTGAAAATGATGGTGGCTTAGGACGGATAATGAAACAATGGTCTAGAATTTTTTTTTCGGTAAAACATTTCGGTTAAAACCGAAATATTTTGAAACCGAACCGAAATAATTTGGTTACAAATCGAATTTACCGAATTTATTTTGGTTCGGTTTTGGTTTTTATTTTCCTTGATTCGGTTAATCGAAAACCGAACCGAATCGTACAAAACCGAACCGTTTAACCGTTTGCTCACCCCTGAAGCGAGGGACAAGAACGACACAAAAACATCATAATTGGTTTACCAAAACGGAGACAAAAACTATTTTTGTCCATTTCTCCGGGACAAAAAAGAATTAAATTTATGTATTAAGGAGACATGCAAGATGGAGATAGAAAAAACTACAAAATTTTATTCTAATCTACCCTAGTAAGCTTTTAAAATTTGACGCCATTAAATTTTTGGATTGACCACTTAATATTATATAAACTAAAAACCTAAAATTAATACTATTTAGGAATTTTATGATAAGGAATTGATTATGCTTTTAAAAAGATATGAATCATCAAAAAGCTTCATTTTCTAAAAAAGGTATCATAATTAGCTTAGTCCTAAAATTTAAGTTTTATTTCTTTGCCAAATTATTTCTAAATCAATTTTTCAAGTTTTATTTCTTAAGCCAAATTTATTTATTTATCTATTTTCGTTTGTTGCATCATATTGAACCAATCTTCGGACCCTGCCGTCGAGAATCTCGTCAATTCAATCTCAAATTCGGTTTAAGTCTTGACATAATTGGTATATCGGAGAATGACCTAATTATTAAGATGAGATTGGTTTGAGTTAATATTAGTCTCTATTAGATAACGAGACTTTGTTAATTTTTCACCTAGCACTTTCTATCTTTTTTTTCTTCTTCTTTTTTTTTTTTTGTATTTTTCTTTTAGAGTTGGACAAAATATGTAAAAACCATCGTCCGTTTATAATAAATAGGAGACTCGTTTGTCCGACATCTCAACCAAATGAAAATCCACATATTAAGATAAAATTTACAATCTAAATATTTTTACATTTTCTAACATACCTAAAATTAAATAATTATCACAAAAAATATAATAAAATAATAATAATAAAAAAGCTAAGAGGAACAAACCAAATGATCACTGAGACGGTGACCAAAATGGCTTTAGGATGTTGCTTGGAAAAAGAAAAATACCCCTATTTTCTAAAAAGATAGAATTGCCGCTAGTGTTAAAAATGATTGAATTACCCTTGCTTACTATTGGAGGCCGTTGCTCTTTCGACCATCAATCGACGCGTGGATCACTCTATAGTGTAAAGGACATTTGGGCGGATCCGCTGGTTTTGGAGTTGATGACCATCGTCGCCTAAAGGAGTAGATTGATAGCCAAAAAGTTTCGATTGATCTCCTCCTTCTTCTTTGGTCAATTTCAACCACATTTAATTGTTTTTAAGGCTTTAAATCGAACCAAACAACCTATAGGACATGTTGGAACTTCGTTTTGGTCATTGAGTGGTCTAATTTGGCTAAAAAAAATAGGAAAGAAAGCCGTTCTCAAGTTTGAAGTCATATTGTTCCAAATTTATGACCAATTTCCTCCTACCCTCATCATTTTCTATCGCTTCAATTGGTGGAGAAGGGTTGCTGGAGGCTGGAGGAGTAGTTATGTGGTGGTGGCTACCATTTATATTGTCAAAAAATGAATAATTTAGGAGGAGCTTGTATTTGGGTCTTAAAGCGAGCCGATCACATACCTTTTCTCCTTGATTTCTCCCTCCTCCAACCTCCTCTTCTTCCTTAACTAGTCAAAGAATGGCAAATTTAGAGGTGGGATACCTATTTGTGGTGAGAGATCAAAGTAATTTTGGCTAAAGGATGGCTGATTTGAGGGAGGAAATGCCGACATGTATATATATTGACTTGTGAGTGACCTAGCTCGACAACCCTCTTTAGGGGCTATTTGGTAGCCTCTTTTTCTTTTTTCTTTTTAGTTCTCTTGGGATTCAAGTCCTACATATATATATATATATATATATATATATAAAGATAGGTATATATATTGACTCGTGAGTGACCTAGCTCGACAACCCTCTTTAGGGGCTATTTGGTAGCCTCTTTTCTTTTTTCTTTTTAGTTCTCTTGGGATTCAAGTCCTATATATATGATGAAAATTAAACTTTCTATATCTTGGTCTTTTTTTTTTTTTTTTTTTTGGGTAGAGGTGATGGGTATTTGTGGTTAGGTTATTTTGTGATAGGTGAATAATGGAGGTTATATTGTTTAGG